AAGGTGTTACCTCGGAAGATATTGGATTACGCGCCCAGGGAATGGGTTAATTGCCATAATGTTGTTATTGTAAGATGATCCGAGGCAAGCTACCTAGGGATCTGTAGGCACCTGGTCTGCGGTAGACTTGCACAAGTCTCTTAGGCAATAATTATCATAAATCGTCATTTCTAGATTAAGTAAATAAACAAGTAAAGAACAAGTTTTCCCTATAAGAGACTGGAGTAGTGTCGACATATCTAGACTTGCCTATTAGGGGCATTGAATTACTAAACATCCATGGAATTATCTTTCAGTACAGCCTTGGAGGAAGGCTAGGTCTGACGTTCTTGTACATAATATATTTAATGTAGTATATTACTGGCATGTGACATATTGTCATCCTCATATTGATATAAACTACTGTTTGCAATGCGAGTGTTACTACAGCCAAAACAGAACTGGATAGGTTTTACGTATTCTCTTGTCTCTTAGATACTGTTGACAACAGACAAAGTGCCTTAATCTCCAGCTCAATACCAACTGACATCCAGTCACAATATGTTTGTGCACAGCCAAGTTAGAGCAGTTAAATACTGGATAAAGTTACTAGGAATGGAAAAATGTAGATATCCTCTTCAATGTTATAAATTGTTAAAGCAGTTGGATGGTAAGGTAAACATAACTGGGTATCTGAAGTAAGAAATCTGTTTATTTACATGTGTTTTTTCTTTTGTGTGGACTGCACGGGATATTAGAAACATTCAAGTATTTATGGGAATATTTAAGCAGCGAATGAAAGATACATTTGCACAAAACTGGTACGGAACTGTTTCATCTTCGCATTATCTTAGCAATTATAATAAACTAAAGTCACATCTTCAACAGGAAATGTATTTTTCTGTCAAATCATTAATAAGATCGTTTCTTAAATTTAGAATCTCATTACATAATTTCAATGTAAATATGTGTCATAAATCGAAAGATATTGATGCTGTTAACAGTGTTTGTACCAATTGTGACAGAGGTGAAACTGAAGATGAATTCCATGTCTTATTTAAGTGTAACAAGTATTCCAAGTTAAGATCTACATATCTCCCCTTCTTGAATGATGACTTTAAATCTTAAATGTTAATGATAAATATTATCAACTCACAAAATAAACATGTTATCTATTCAGTGGCTGCTTACATAAAGCATGTTTTTACTATCAGATTCAAGAAAATGTAATTTCTGTATGCACGTAGCATCATATTATGAGTTAGTATCAATTGTACTTTAGTCCATATGGCCATAATACTGAATAAACCTGCCTGTCCGTCTGTCTGTCTGTCTGTCTGTCTGTCTGACATCCAGTCATATTTTTGAAGATAAACCGATTCAACACAACTCTCAAAATAAATCTTGACCTTTCAGACAATATAAAGATGATATCAAAATGGACACACGCACATATCAGTGCACAGTAACAAAACATCATGTACGTTACACATGTTACGACATCGCAATCCCGGGGTACTCCTACACTATACAGCGAATTCTGACCCTGATCTCCCAAAATCTGAATCTATTTCCTTACCATAATAATGTTACCGACTATCTATCAAACCATCCATTCATCTTTACATCTGGTCTATGGTGCAATATGCAGGGTATATCATTTGGTCGATCGTACAATATACAGGCTTTATCTCCAGGTCTATCGTGTGTGTATATATATACCCGGTATAGTGCTCGTCAACAAAGGATCACCATCAGGTCGAATGTCGGATTCGAACTAACGAATTACCGATCCTGGCAGGTAACAGGGACGTTAGTCTGTTATACAGACCCTGAAACAAATATATCCAATACAGCCCACGCAAGTCTATAATGTTTGGCAAGTCTAGATTACTTCAGTATCTGAAAATGAAGAAAGTCTCTGGGCCCCTTTCTATTTTATTTAATAACTATAATGTTTCTTTCTGTAAAATACGTTCATTTCACAGACTAGATGTTAGTCTACATTGACGCACGTCCACACAGAGAATTTCGAATCGAAGCGAGCGCTTGGATAAAGTGTAATGTCCACATATATTTTTTATTTATCGTATGCCAAACTAGTAATGAAAATGCTTTCTCGAATCAAATGATACTTAAATGTAAAAGTACTTGATTGAAATCTTTTCAAACAGAACAAAATGCTATCAAAACCTGAACGCCGTCATACTTATTCTTATAAATATCTACTCAACGATGACTGAGATACTAGTCTCTCTACACAACATATTCATTTAACACGCGCCATACATGTTTGCTGACATTGTATCCTTGAAATACTAGTATACGAGCAGATACGTAGTTCCCCTGCAGTAGATAACGTCACCCAGGACTTCGTGGTACCTACACGGTACTATTTCTAGCGTTGTTCCACCTGTTTTTAGATGTATCCCTCTAAGTGAGTTGAGGCACATCCTAGCATCAGTGGCGTCCTTCCCTTCATCAAGCTGATTAGGCGCAGCATTTGCCGGGTGAGGCAGTTCGATTGCAGTCATAACCACTTACGTGGTAGACGATGATCTGAGGTTGCTGGGGGTAGTGGAACACGTTGAGGAGAGTTGCCCTACTCCCGGTGGTCGCTACCAGGTGTTACCAGGCATTACGAGACATTACGAGATATTGCGAGGCACTATCAGACAACGTGACCTTGAAGAGCAGCGTCTGGGCTTGGGAAGACACGAGTCTCCCGATGGCGAGCACTTGTTTACGACCTTAGAATATATTTCGAGACTTTGTAAAAATGATCTAAAATTTAAAACAAAATCGGCCTGTTTATACTCAGGGCCGTTGCATTATATTTGTTTCTTGAGAAAGTGTTTGGTTTTGGGAGCGTGAACGCCATGAAATGTTCAAAGCGGCTTTAATCCTAAGTCTCTCACTCAATCACTCGGAATCATGGCGCGTGACGTGAAGGTGCTGCTTGGGAAATAGCCGTGATCTGGTGATCAAGTAACACCAACATATGAATTACGATTATCCTTGTAAGAGTGAGTACCTATCAAGAATCAAGAATGTTATTGTACAGAACATCCTCGTGAGGCAGGGTACAAACGATCTACATATGGACATAAATATAGCTATAAACATGAGAGGTAGATATACATCATGTACATTATATATAGATGTATTATATATTATTTTCATTTACAGTATATAAACATTTATGTATATCATGAGGTGGCTAGCAGCGTACACTTGGTGTTGAAACTGTATTGATAGACGAATAGAATTTCTCATGGTCTCAGCTTAAACATGCCGAATACAGTCCTTGCAACAAGACTTGACCATTCATTTGGAGGGTCCATGGTTTGTTTTAGGAGATTGGTTTTATCAGTCTGGGAAGGGTCGCCTATTTCTATCAGTGTGATGAGATTTCTCCTGAGGTTGTACACAGTGGGCATGAAAGCAGGAAGAGTTCCTCATCCTCCACGGAATGGCAGTCACAGTGCGGACGGAACCTATTTTCAAGTGGAGTGTTGGAGTATCTTCCCCTCTCAATTTGTAACATCAACATATGAATTACGAATATCCTTGTTAAAGTAAGAACCTATCAAGAATGAAGAATGTCCATATGTAGATAGTTTGCACCCGGCCCTATCTGTGGATGGTTTCTCTTATAGCTTGATAGACCGTTCTGATTTTATCTGAGTCTCGTCGTTTAGTACAGATAGTGTTGAGGTGTTATATACCAACGTCATCGTCAACGGCTTTCTTCTTACAAATCATCACGTGATTGATGACATATTACGTTTTCGATTGTTGTTTAACGCCGCGCGCAGCAGTATTCCAGCGGAATGTAAATACTCGCGTCTTGACCAGACGATCCAGTGATTGACATCATGAGCATCGATCTACGCAATAAGGATACGATGACATCCATCAACTAAGTCAGCAAGTCTGACCACCCGATCCCTTTGTCACCTCTTACAAGCATGGGTTGCTGATGCATATCACGGAAATCAACTTAGCAACAAGCTATAAATATTAATTTATGTTTACAGACACACAACAAACTGACAGACACATGAATGTACATATATAGTGTACCTATTTCTGTCCCTATCTATCTATCTATCTATCTATCTATCTATCTATCTATCTAACTATCTATCCATCTATCTATCTATTTATCTATCTATATGTCTGTCTGTTTGTCTGTAGATAAGAAGTCCACGGACGGACAGACACGTACAGGGAACAGACGGAAGATGATGAATTGACACAGTCTGTAACAGTATCTGATGTTTGCATCTGCAAATATATCGCCTGTCTGAAACTACAAACTCCTTAAGATCCTAAGCTGTGATTGGTTGATTGTGAGTGGTCGAGACTCTCCAGGCCATTAACTAACCGGACAGGATGGGGAGATGAATCCTGGGTAATGTCCGACATGCGGAGCTGTTTAGACATTTGGCATGTCAGAGTGTGGCATGTATAATTGATTCACTTTTTAACGAGGGTAATGCTACATCAGAAGCTTCCTCCATCTTGTCAAAATATGTCGAACATAATAACGCTTAGTTATGCCTGTCTTGTAGTGCTGATCGGTCTCTTTGTTTACCTGTGTTTATCTTTGTTTATCTCTACAACCTTGTAAACAGAATTTAAAAGGCGGATATAAATAGGGTCTGCTTCAAATTTCCCCCTGCCATTACTTATGAACCACCAAAGAATGGGATAATGTACAATAGCAATGTAGTATCCCAACTATGTTAAATATTCAAGTATCGTTAAAAATGAAAGCCCTCCACTCCATCAAACAGGTACAGCAGTAGTTCGCCATCTGGAACTGATGAGATGCTCGAAGAACGCTGCGCGTCCCCTTCAAGCAGCTTGCGTTGTGTAGCAGGTCCCCCTCCCCTACCGAACCCCCATCTCCTGCCCCCAACCCCTCTGAGTTAGCGTCATCGCGCTACGCTAATGTAACACACGCCACTTTGAACCTTTACCGACTTTGCATCAAAACATTAATAGAATCTTACTTTTCTGGAGCCGCGTGAGCTTTTTCGGAGTCTCTGTTTCCCCTTCAGCTGGAGGCGCCTGTTCCTCGGGTGTGGTTGCTTCCCCGGGTGGGGCTTCTTCGGGTATCGGCTGTTCCTGTTGTTCTGGCGGCGACTCGACGGGTGTTGGATCATCCGCTTGATTGACCTCCTCCAACTTAGAGGGAGCCTCAGTCACCTCTATTGCAGGATTGTCTACACATTCTGGAACCTGCTCATTCTTAGCCTCGGGAGGATGTTCTGCCACGACTTCTTTGACTTCCTCGTTGGCTTTTTCTTTAACATCAGGGTCAACGCCGCTAGAAGCCATCTTGAAATATCCACTTATCTTTTAAAGCGATAGCCTTCCGCTCGCTACAGTCGGATCTGGCCTGTGTGGGAGAGATTCCTTACTTCAGTCCCCGGCAAATTCCCAACAATTTACGACGGTGTAGGAGTGTCAGTGAGGCAGAAATGAGAAGATACACGTGAGTTATCGTCTGCCTCCACGCTCGGACATTTGCCGGAAGTTCCAACACTGACCGCTCAGCTGTCTATCTGACACGTGCAGACGCTTCTGGCTCTGATATCCAATTAACGCATTTACACTGGTAAACGTGTGAAAACAGTGTCCCCAGCAGGGCCTGTTGGAACACACTCACGGTATTACATCACACCACAACCTCCAGGATTGACGCTGAGACTGTTTCTCTCCTGTACGCTCCGAGCAGACGATATGGTGACTAACAAGATATGTGTTTAATTAATCTCTTATCGCCTCCCGGTCAGTATACTTTCAGCCTTGCAAGTTTGTAAACAGTAAACCAGCTTGTCTTATAAACAAAGCACAACCCAAACGATCCTCACCTGCCTTCCGTCATATTCTGACAGACGATGGAAGAAGCAGACGACAATGAGATGTGGGCAAGAAGTCAACAGGCACTCGAGATACCGACTTTGTTACAATCAGATGTGTAAGGTCTAGAGTCGTTCTATCGTCCGTGAGATCGTGGGTCGAGCCATGCAGGGAAGAGATCAGCTCATTTGAAGAAAGGCAGACCCTTCACCTATATCCCATCAATGTTTCCGATAGTTTTTACAAGTCCTATCTCCAGCGTCCAATCTTCGCCCTCAACATCCAATGGGAGACCGCCCATCTGTCAACATGGCCGCTCATTAAACAGTCAAAGACTTTGTAAGCTCTCTTCTTTAAAATATCCCTATCTGAGGCACCCTGCGATCAGCAAGTTAAATCGCTCAGTCAATCTGCGGGAAGCGACCTGGCAGTTGGTCCCAGTTTAATTTTGCCTCGGACACGCGTGTAAGGCCGGGAGGAGCGTTGCGATGCTGTTAGGGTTCACATATCTTGGGGAACTGCATCTGTTTCAAGATTTGTATCTGGGGAGGGGTGAGGGATGGGGGAGAAGAAGGGGGTAGAGGCAGCGTGGGAGGGGAGGGGGCGCGAGATGATGAAGAGAACGGCAGACGCCAGTACAATCCATGCGCAAGAGTTTTTTTAGGCTAAAAGAAACTTTTAGAGATGTAAAAAAAATGTAGGGCCATTGCTTTGGGTTTGTAACTTGAGAATAACGTGTATACTACGGGTCTTTTTAAGGCTATAGCACATATGGAGTAAGGTATATTGATATCACAATAACAGGGGCGGCAGTAGCCTTACTCCAAGTCTGTACTGAAGCCAAAATCTATGTGATTCTATTTATATTATCTTGGTAATGAGCAAGTCTAGATCTAATAGACCGACAATCCAGATTCTTATACGAACAAAAATAAGTTGATAGTTTTTAAAATTATACTTTATTAAAAATAGACTTTCAATCTTCATTAGAAACTGTTTCCTTATAAATGCATCAAGTCTAGCTTAACAAAGCAACACTGAGCTTGTCGGACACATCACACAGTGTCAGGTTTCTGTTTTGGCAACAAGTAATGATCAGGAATGTGTATGATAAGTTACGAGAACACACAGGAAATATACCTGATACAAAGGAGGTTACAACAAAATACGAGCGCGTTAAAACAACGCATCTGTCTCAAGACAGGAAGAGCTTCTTCTACTGTGTAGGTTATTTACTAGCCTTGCTCAAAGGCTCAACTGAAAGAAAAGTCCAAGGATGTGTAGTAATTTTATCCTCCCAACAGGCAAGTCTAGATATGTGAACAGTTCTCTTGTAGGGACAACTTGTTCTTATTATTTACATAATCTAGAAATTATGAATGAAACTATTCAATATTTCCTTAGAGACTTGTGCAAGTCTGGTTAATTACACGTTTTGGAGGCCATGCGTCTTGAAGACATACTGCAGATGCCAGGGTGTCTGTTTCCTCTGTCAACATCGTCAGTTGAGAGTGAGCTGTTACGTGGCTCTGACATGTGCCCGTGAACACAAGGCTAACCTCTGTAGGCTGCAACTGTTGCACCATAGTACACCGTGTATATTGTGAATATATAGTCCCTTTGAAGAAGAAACATTATCATTATTTTAAAAGAAATGTTGTCATAGGCTAAGTGTTAGTCAGTCACAGTCACTTAACCATAATATTTTCCCTTCGGCCCAGCTCTTTCTGTCAAGCAAAAGCTCTAAATGAAGCAAGTCTAGATTTCCAACAGGTTCTGAATCTCCCATCCCACTGGGGCTCCTTTTCAGTTTATATGGAGTACTTGTTATTATGAAAAATATATGTTCAGAGACTAAGCGTTAGTCTGCACGTGAGGATTGTAACTGTATTTTGGCCCTTTAAGTTGGTGTGTTTCGGCGACTGTTTTCAACCTAGTAACGTTTAGATAACATTTGAAATGTTTTGGTCAAATCCAATTTTCAAGTGTATACTTCATTTTGACCGGCAGTTTCGGTTATTCTAAATATTACTCTTGTCGTCTAAAGAATGAAAATGGAAAAATTCGTAAAACTATCAGGGCAAACAAACCTCCAGGGAATCGCCTCTGAAGTCGGACCATTGTTCAGAGCAATCTCATTAAAATCAGACCTCAGTTCTCGCTACCGCTAAACAATCTCATTAAAATCTGACCTCAGTTCTCGCTACCGCTAAACAATCTTATTAAAATCAGACCTCAGTTTTCGCTACCGCTAAACAATCTCATTAAAATCAGACCTCAGTTCTCGCTACCGCTAAACAATCTCATTAAAATCAGACCTCAGTTCTCGCTACCGCTAAACAAAGATCTGAGGACATCCCATTAGGGGTCACGTCAGAACGACCTTTCATCCGACCAATCAGAGCATCGCTTACCAGATTATGAAAGTGACAGTCGGAATGTGATTTCTAATCATGCAACGTCGAAAACGTAAACTCCGAATGATAGTTACGGGTTTAACGACTGAATCCATACAAACTAGACCATCTATTAGCCATTCCAGAATGTTCTTTTGTTCGGGTTTCAAATTTGTAATCGAGAATTTGTCAAAATATGTTTCGAAGCGTAGTCGCCAATGTGAAATTAGTGCCGTAAAGCACGAGAAAGCTGCCTTCTGATTGGTCATTCCATTGGTCGGTCAAAGTTCGCGCAAGGTCGGTCTGACGTGACCCGTAATGGGATGTCCTCAGATCTTTGTTTAGCGGTTGCGAGAACTACGATCTGATTTTAATGAGATTGTTGTTATCAATGGATGAGGTCAGATCGTATTGTTGTCAACAATGAAACACTGCCACGTCACTTCGCTAAAACTAACCAATCAGCATCGAGAATATATACAAATCACATGTGCAAATGTCGTAACCCTATAACCCTCGATCTGCCCTTTCCCTGCGCCATGACTGTGGAACTTTTACACATATTGTTTGTACTAAGAGTAAAACTATTTTAACGAACTGGTTTCACAGACTTAGTGCAGTCTACGTCTGCCCAAGAGGACACTGTAGGTCAACATGGAGGATATCTGATATCGAAAAAACCTGCAAGATTCAAAGATAGGTTTAAAAGATCTATAGGAGAATGTTGTGCAGTCAAATGGACTACGGTGAAATGAGAATGGTCTACAGTATACTGATGTATAGTGGAATGTTCTACAGTAGAATGGTCTACAGTATACTGATGTATAGTGGAATGTTCTACAGTAGAATGGTCTACAGTATACTGATGTTTAGTGGAATGTTCTACAGTAGCATGGTCTACAGTATACTGATGTTTAGTGGAATGTTCTACAGTAGAATGGTCTACAGTATACTGATGTTTAGTGGAATGTTCTACAGTAGAATGGTCTACAGTATACTGATGTATAGTGGAATGTTCTACAGTAGAATGGTCTACAGTATACTGATGTATAGTGGAATGTTCTACAGTAGAATGGTCTACAGTATACTGATGTTTAGTGGAATGTTCTACAGTAGCATGGTCTACAGTATACTGATGTTTAGTGGAATGTTCTACAGTAGAATGGTCTACAGTATACTGATGTATAGTGGAATGTTCTACAGTAGAATGGTCTACAGTATACTGATGTATAGTGGAATGTTCTACAGTAGCATGGTCTACAGTATACTGATGTTTAGTGGAATGTTCTACAGTAGAATGGTCTACAGTATACTGATGTATAGTGGAATGTTCTACAGTAGAATGGTCTACAGTATACTGATGTATAGTGGAATGTCCACAGTAGAATGGTCAACGGTATATTCATCCACAGTGAAATATGGCATACGAAAGAATGGTCTGAGGTATGATAATGCACTGTGGAATGGTCTGCAGTAGAATGGTCAACGGTATATTCATCCACAGTGAAATATGGCATACGAAAGAATGGTCTGAGGTATGATAATGCACTGTGGAATGGTCTGCAGTAGAATGGTCTACGGTATAATCGTCTACAGTAGAATGACATACGGAAGAATGGCCTGAAGGTAAAGGTACTCGAGAGGATGGTCTGCAGGTAAAGGTACTCGATAGAATGGTCTGCAGGTAAAGGTACTCGAGGGAATGGTCTGCAGGTAAAGGTACTCGAGAGGATGGTCTGCAGATAAAGGTACTCGAGAGAATGGTGTGCAGGTAAAGGAACTCGAGAGAATGTTCTGCAGATAAAGGTACTCGAGAGAATGGTCTGCAGATAAAGGTATTCGAAGGAATGGTCTGCAGATAAAGATACTCGAGAGGATGGTCTGCAGGTATAGGTACTCGAGAGAATGGTCTGCAGGTATAGGTACTCGAGAGGATGGTCTGCAGATAAAGGTACTCGAGAGAATGGTCTGCAGGTAAAGGTACTCCAGAGAATGGTCTGCAGATAAAGGTACTCGAGAGAATGGTCTGCAGGTATAGGTACTCGAGAGAATGGTCTGCAGGTAAAGGTACTCGAGAGGATGGTCTGCAGATAAAGGTACTCGAGAGAATGGAATACCGGTTGAAGGAAACAGTATATGGAACACTGGTCAATATAATTAAACGATCTGTGGTAGAACTATCCTGGATGGAATGGTCTATGGTACAATCATATGTTTTGGAATGGTCTAGAATTGAGTGATATGGGGCTCCCAATAGGGCATCTCTAAATGTAGCAGGGTAACCTAAACTAGCTCTGAAACCCCCCGGCTTTTGCACGATTGTCTTAAATATCTTCCATTCCATGAATGTAATGATTTCTTCTTTATATTGTTATCTAAACAAAATCATGCCTGAATGTGGAATTGGCCATTTTATCTTGGGCTGAATAGGTAATCAGTCTTGTGAAGGAGAGCTGATGAAGCACTCGGTACATCAGCGTGTTTCCCGCGGCTTCAGGACCCGGCTATCTTCGCAGCATGCGCCAATACTCATCACACATATATCAAACAAACTGACGGCAGCGCCATCTAGCGGTAAATATATTTGAACAGCCATAAGAGTATAGTATATCAATAGGAGCCACTTGAGATTAAGTAAATATCTGCTTCGCTGAATACAGTCACTGGATTGAAGATGGTTAAAAAAAAACCCACAAAAAACCTTCTACTTGTACAATTCATAGTTTGCGATAACACGGGTGGAAGCAAGGAGATAAAAAACATTTAGAGTTCATTGATACAGTCTAAACATTTCTGTATACGCTAAAAAATAAGTAATTCCCCAATGGATTCGTGAAGTGCATTGATTAGTCTTTTGGGGCCACGTAACCGGAAGTGGCTAATCTCGACGTTGCCCTGGGAGAAATACCAATCTCATTAAAATCAGATCGTAGTTCTCGCTACCGCTAAACAAAGATCTGAGG